GGTGAGGTAAGATAAGCACAGTGTTCCTGAGGTTTAACTGGCTCCTTCATGACATAGTTGGCAAAGCAAATCTGCAGCAATCCAAGACTTTGTTGATGGGGTGACCAGCCTTGTCAGGTGCGACCTAGAGGTGCAGACATGTTCTCAGCTCGATGAGGAGCAGGTTCGATGGGCTGAATGGCATCCTCCTGTTCCTAAGAACTGTGTAGAACTTCAGGCTGGAAGGAACTCTCAATGCTCAGGGGATAACATTCTTTACTTAAGCTTTCCTTAAGAGCGTTTAAGTCATTAAATGTTAGCCAGTAGTGGGGGCCACAGGACAGTAGATCACTGGGAGAGTGCACTTGGAATTAAAATAAATTTAATAATTATAATAATTCTTGCATTTGATAAAGCACTTTATCACTTCTTCAAGACCTCTCAAAACACTTCACAGAATATATTGTAAAGTGAATTGACTGTAAATTTTGTGGGCAAAACGTGGCAGCCAATTGCATGCAGCAGTGTCCCACAAACAGTCATGGATCGAGTGAACAATTTTTAATTTGTTTTAATTTGAAGGGATTATTAACCCGGAAGGTTTTCCGCCAATCGGGTTCCGACTTAACAAACGGGTTCCTACTTACTGCTAGGTAAACAGGGGCGTGTGGAGTAAGGAAGCTTGCCTAAGGTTTTGCCTTGCCTGGGAATCTCTCGCTTGCAAGGCAACTGCTCAAAATTTGTTTCTAAATTAATTAGAAATGGACTTGGACTGGAATAGGAGAATCAAAATAAACATTTTTTCAATTAATCTTATAATAATAACAATGCAGCACAATACATGTCTAGCTAGGAGTGCGCTACCCATTAGGGGACTGATTTGCAGGATTGAGAACATGTCTGCACCTCTTGGTCCCACCTGACAAGGCTGGTCACCCCATCAACAAAGTCTTGGATCGCTGCAGATTTGCTTTGCCAACTATGTCATGAAAGAGCCAGTTAAATCTCAGAAACACTGTGCTTATCTTACCTCACCTGCCACTGTCAAGCGCTCTGGGATGCTATCCTGCTTGAGGGGTATTATATAAATGCCAGTTGTTGTTGTTGTTGAGTATTGCCAATCCTTCAAATAGTTTCTGGGACTATCCTGATTTTTTTTATGTGTGTTTCGTATCCTGGCTTGTCTGTATTTCTCTTGGATTCAGGATGGACTGGGTGGGTGGAAATCACTTCATGCATCTGTGCAAACATCTTGAATCGTTTCCGTTGCAGAGAGGACAGCAGTGGTTCTGATGGGCTAGCAATCTGGTAATCGGAAGCCTCAAGGCTAAGATATTGTACCTCAATTTTGTCCTCAATTGAATCTTTGATCAGCAATGGATGAACCACAATTGTCCATTGCTATAAAGGCTACAACTTCAAAGCCCGCCTATATCTTTTAAAAAGAGAGATTTTGCAGGTCCTGTTGACTACATGTCCCTAAACTCTATTTTTACTTGCTAATCAGAAATTTGGAATCCTTTTTCCAACAAGATGCATATTTTAAAACACTCTGCGGAGATCCAGAAACATTCCGTCCTCTCTACTCGTAAATTGTTCCTGGTGATTAGTTTGAGAGATTTCTTTTTCATTCTATATTTTAACAGATGTCTCCTGTCCAGTGAACCCGCTGTCTGGACAGCAACTTAGGAGCAGCACAATTTGCCAAAATGATTTAAACTAGTGCAACTTTCAGAAAGCTCTTTTCCTGATAGCCCCCCTCAATTACCTGACTACCCCCCCACCCCCAACCTCAGTTTCACACCATATCTATCAGTGAGTCTGTGTCACATTACCACCTAAAGTGGAAAAATTGAGCCCATTTTTCCTTACCATCCAGAGGAAATGCTGGGAGGAATGTGGTATCCAGTGACTGGAATAAGAGATCAAAATAACAAAATTCCTACATGTCAACAGGCAGGATTTTCATGTTAATGGTGTGTTGCCAACTTCAAGGTTTTCAGTTTAGGAGAAGGTCCTGTTTGCAAAGCAAAGATATAGTTCTATCCGGAATTCCCCTTTCCACTCATTTTTTCCTAATACTTAAAAATAATAGTAACCCTTGCATTTGATATAGCATCCTATCATGTCAAAATGTCTCAGTGCTTCATAGAGTGTTACGTAAAGTGTTGTGAATATTTTGTAGGTGAACACAGCTAATTTGTGCACATCAAAGTCAGACAAACACTCATGAAGTGAGTGACTAATTTTATCTGGAGGATTGTTGGTCGGGACCCTGGGCGGAACTCGCTTGCCTTTTTGAACAGTGCCATGAAATCTTCATTGTCCATCTGAACAGGTATATATTTTTTGTCAGCCAGGTGTCTGACACATGCAGAAACCCTCACCATGCTTAAGAGTATCCAAACCAAATTGAGAATTCCATGCTTCCCACCTACACATAGAAATTCCAAAGAGAGATTGTTGGAATGAAATGCACACTCTCCCTGCTTACCTAATTCGGGAAAGTATTAGGGACAGATTGGCAAGAGCCAAGGCTTGGGGACCCAAGAGTGTGTGTTGGCAGATGAGCCTCTATTTAAAAATCTTGTTTGAAGAACAGGACCCATGATAATGCAATGTCTGGCATGTAAACTCAAAGTCCCTATGAGGTTTTAATTTCAAAATGGTTAAGAATATAATTTCCCCCAGATGTTATACCGGCTCAGTTGGTAGCACTCTTACCTCTGAGTCAGAGGTTGTGGGTCCAAGCCCCATGTTTGGGCTCTGAGCTCACTGTCTCCAATGCAATTTTGGGAGAGCCCTGCAAATGCCATCCTTCAAATGAGACATTAAACTGGGGTTCTGTCTGCCTGTTCAGGAGGACATTAAAGATCCCACAGCACTATTCAAAAAGATAAAGGAGTTTCTCCCAGTGTCCTGGCTGACAATGCCCAAGTTATAATTAGTCACTGCTGTCATAAATTGGCTACCAACTATGAATAAATAGTCACTACACTTAACAGAAAACTCTCTGAGGTATTTTGATGTGATAAGGCGAGGTAACAAATGTTGTTACTAAAACCCTGATTTACAACTTTCGAAATTGAATGGCACAAACATGTGACCCACTAGAGGGAGCCATACATCTTTGAATCTAATACATTGTTCTGGCAGAGATGTGGTAAAAAGCAAAGATGTTTGCTGGCAGCTTTATAGATCGAACTCATCAAAACATGTACTTATTGCAAACTTTTTTTTTTGCCTTTCAAACGACGTTGGCATTGTGTTTAAGTTGGCAAAAGAGTTTACTCTGAAAACTGAAAACTCTGCTCAAAAATCATTGTGCCGGGTGCTGATGTGAATTTTTGCTGTTCCAGAAGTTATACCCTCTGCGATCCTTTCATTTCAGAATGTGTATTTTGTGGCTCATCTATCTTGTTTCTGACCTTAAACTCAAAAGGCGACCAATCTGTGACACAGCGATATCGTTTGATATTTGGGTCGAAATTTTTGTATTTCATGGGCTTCCTTAGATCATTTGGCTACAAAATACCAGTCTTAACTTAACAATATATTCTGTGATGCGCTTTGAGACATCTCAACAATGCGATACAGTGCTATATCAAATGCAAGGATTATTATTATTTCCCTTTAACGAACCTCCAGAAGTAGATTACATTGGAGCAAAGTTCCCGCATGCAGTGCAAATACTTCTGATGATCAGGAGCAGTACTCACTCCGATTCCTTATTGAGCAATTAATCACAAATCTCATTAACAAATATTGCAAATTGGATACCCATTGCACCACCAACCCCCTGACTGCTTACAGAGCTGGGAAAATATACTCCTCCAAGACATGAACAGTACAGTAATAAATAATCCTATGTGATCAGCAAAAGTTGTCACATCTTGCTATTTCTTAATCCTTCATTGTAACAATCCTTGCATTTGATATAGCATCTTTCACATCAGAAGAACGTCTCAAGGAGTTTTGCAGGATTTATTGTAAAGCGTAGTGACTGTGTATTTTACAGGCAACAACAACTTGCATTTATATAGCACCCTTCACGCAATGTAGTGTCTCAGAGGGCTTGACAAATGCAGCGGCCAATTTGTCACAACAATGACCAACAAACAGCTATGATGTAAATGATCAATTTTATTAGTGGAGTTGTTGTCCAGGACATTGGGGTGGTGGGGGAGAGAAAACTAGAACTGTCCAGCGCCTTGGGATGTCCTCCTGGAAATGCTGATTTGCACTGTAGCTTGTGATATAGAATGAAATAATTCTAACTCAAATGATAACTATGTGTATGCATGAGTGTGGGGGGTTGAAAGGGGTGGTTGAAATTATTAATTATAATACTCTCTACATCAAGTGGCTCTTTTTTTTAAAAAAAAACATGATTTGGGTTTGGTCAAAAGGTCCATATTTACATAGAATAAAAGTCCACGTTACACTGTACAACATCCAAGTGAATTCGGACAAGTTGATCAAACCTACAATGCAGCGAAGCAGCGACCAGGTGTAATCTATTCAGATCTCAGTCGCTGCAAAGATCAATGCAATGATGTGGGGAGACTAGTTTCAGCTGAACCCCCCCCACAATAATAAGTTACTCGTCTCAGACTTGGTCAGTTACCAAGTGATGAAGCTCATCCCTTGCAATGCCTTCAATTCTGCAAGTTAACGAGATGGCATCGTGCAGAGGCAAACCCATCAGCTCAATCAGCAGCACACAGACCCACAGGGTAGCAAAGTACTCCTGGGAAAGACAAAAAAAAAAATATATGTATATATACACGTTACCCAGATTGTATCTCTAGGCACATTATATACCGTATGCACCCGTTGACAGCAAGATGCATTTTTCATTAATGCCTTAAGAGTCAAAAGTGCCTCCAGTCCTGGACCTTTAAACCAATAATCACCCAAAGGGGCCCCTGAAACCCCCACTGGCTCCAGTGCAGTGCGATCCAATCGGCGCTCAGCACTCTCCGGGGGTATCATCTCGCCTTGTGGAAGGAGGAGAGGAGAGGAGGAGGAGGAGAAGAAGAGGCTGATCAGAGCTGAGGAGCTCCACTTGCAGTCGCATCAGCTCTGGCTGAGAGCCCCGGGACCGGAGACACCCAAACCCACCAGGGACCCAGACCCAGACCCCCACTGCAATCCCAGCAGGAGAGAAGCACACAGCAGAGGGCAAGCGGGGCGAGGAGGAACCTTGGACCATTTTCCTTTCTGCCCAGCATTGGGCAAGACCCCCTGCCTCCACACCGGGAGGGAATCATTCCCAGGCACAGCCACAAAAAGAGTATTGCTCTTAGAGAGATTTTTTTTTTTTAACACACACAACACAACACACACAACACACACACACACACACAGAGATCAGAGCGATTTTGCAAACACTTTCCCTTTAAATGCATCGACCGACACTGGACGTCTTCTGACTTCTTTTTTGGAGGGTCCGGAAGGAAAATCCCGATCCCAAGTCCGGTTGCAAGTTCTTCCCACACAGCACAATGCCTGTGCCGGTGAGCCCGATCCGCACGGTGTGCCTCCTGGTCCTGCTCTGCTCCTCGGCTACTCCCGGGAGCGAGGAGAGGGCGGAGGACATCCCGGAGGGCGCCTCCACCCTCGCCTTCGTGTTCGACGTGACCGGCTCCATGTACGATGATTTGGTTCAGGTCATCGAAGGCGCCTCCAAGATACTGGAAACGTCGTTGAGCCGACCCAAGAAGCCGCTTCACAACTTTGCCCTCGTGCCCTTTCACGACCCAGGTAAGCCCATAGCCCACAGCTCATAGCCCACAGCTCATAGCCCACAGCTCATAGCCCATAGCCCATAGCCCACAGCTCATAGCCCACAGCTCATAGCCCATAGCCCACAGCTCATAGCCCATAGCCCACAGCTCATAGCCCATAGCCCATAGCCCATAGCCCACAGCTCATAGCCCATAGCCCATAGCCCACAGCTCATAGCCCACAGCTCATAGCCCATAGCCCACAGCTCATAGCCCACAGCCCACAGCTCATAGCCCATAGCCCACAGCCCACAGCTCACAGCCCATAGCCCACAGCTCATAGCCCATAGCCCATAGCCCATAGCCCATAGCCCACAGCTCATAGCCCACAGCCCATAGCCCATACCCCACAGCTCATTGCCCACAGCCCACAGGTCATAGCCCACAGGTCATAGCCCACAGCTCATAGCCCACAAACCACAGCTCATAGCCCACAGCTCATAGCCCATAGCCCACAGCCCATAGCCCATACCCCACAGCTCATAGCCCACAGCTCATAGCCCACAGCTCATAGCCCACAGCTCATAGCCCATAGCCCACAGGTCATAGCCACAGCTCATAGCCCTCAGCCCACAGCTCATAGCCACAGCCACAGCTCATAGCCCACAGCTCATAGCCACAGCTCATAGCCCACAGCCCATAGCCCATAGCCCACACCCACAGCCCCAGATCAGGGTTTGGGACAGAAATCAATTCATTGGCGATGAGGCTTTTTGCTTTTGCTGCTACCGATTCGTTCTGGGGTCTTCACTCTGTCTGTCTGTGTCTGTCTGTGTGTCTGTCTGTGTCTCTGTGTGTCTGTCTGTGTGTGTGTCTGTCTGTCTGTCTCTGTCTGTCTGTGTCTGTGCTTCCACGTTGTCGTGTTAATTTCAGAGTTTCCTTTGCAAAAATCAGCTTTTTTTAAAATTTAAAATTAAAACACACACACACAAGTTCCATGAGCTAATCTGCAGATGTTAGCAATCCTTGAATCCCACCCCTCCTTTCCTAAAACCCAGGGCAGGCGGTTTCTAGAAAGCACAAGGTATGGCTCTCTCGCTCTTCTTTTTAGTCAGTGTTATTTTGAACTTCTGGGTTGTTAACAGGTCAGAGAAATGTTGCAGCAACTTTTAACTGATCTCAACCTGGTTGACTGCTGGATCTCCAACACACCGAGATCGCACCAGGACTAGAAACAGAAGTCGGGTTGCATTTTGTCAGCTTGTTACAGGGTCAGGAATAGAATGGAGCAAAACAGACGAGTATTGCTTTTTTAAAAAAAAAAATCACAACCCAAAGAAGACAAAAATACCCTTTGCTCCTTCCTTTAGACCAAACAGCTTATCCCAGACCCCTGCCCACCCACTCCCCATCTCCTGGGAGGAAAAGTTGTGCACAGACACTCCCTGAACACCAACGATAGAATGGTTGGACAACACTGCAGATTGGTTTTTTTTTATTTGGAAGTCTCTTTAGATATATCCACTACTCTTGTGTGTTTGTGTATCTCTAGTCTTACTCGAGGCTTTATAATGTTAAACCTATTCCCTCTGGTTCTGGCTCACAGGTAGGAAGATAGGAATTGATAGATGAATAAAGTTCGCCTTCTATCATCCTGTCTATCTATCATATTCTATCATACTACAATAATGGAGATGTTGATAGCAATGAATTCAGTATGGATTAGTCTGCAACCCAGTGGAAAGCTACAGAAACCTTAGTTCCACAGTTGTCTAGTTCTTCCAAGCAAACTACACTTACTATATCAAATTAACACTTACTATACAGCTCTGCAGGGAGCCTGCCTACATCTAGGTTCTGGTCTAATTTGCGATATTTCTTAACAGGATTCCTTAATGACAAATCCGAGTCACATTTGGGAGCTTGATCTAAATTATCTGTTTTGTAGGAGATCTGTTTTGAGCAGATTTCATGCAATGTACAGTAGATAAATGCATCAAAGAGATGTACGACAAGCTGAATATCTTGTTTGTGTCTGTGCTTTAAGCTTCTGCAGTAGATGTGAAACCAATGGTGAGCAAGTTGAAGGATGCAAAAGCCATATTATCCAATGGTTCAGCTAGAGAGCTGTTCATTGTTTGAGTGCTAAATGAACTTGTTCTTGGATTGCATGCCGAACAATGGCTGGAAGTGTGAGCCACACAGCCACTGTAAACAGCAGGAGTGAACATTGAGTGGTTTATAACATACCAAAATCCTAGAGTATCTGACTTGCTCTCTGTGATGGATGCTCAAAAGCTATTCTCAATATTCTAAATACTATATGAGTGTACAAATGAGTCACACAAGTGACAATAACATGGTTCAGTTTACAATCGTATCCCGGAGAGCACTTGATTGATCTTGCTGATAATAACAGCTTTAACATTGTCTGATGAGCATCAATGAGTGGCCAGTAATGATTTAAATTGCACAAGCATCTCATCCTCTATCTCCTTCTTTCTAATTTGGAATTATTTACAAATCGAACCTCTTTCAGGTACTATGAGTGGAGTCCTGTAGCTCAGTGGTTAGAGCACTTGCTTTGCAAGCGAGAGACCTGAGTTCAATTCCAGGCAGAGGGCGAAACCTTGAACAAGTTTCCTTACTCCACACACCTGATAATAATCCCTCCAAAAACAATAATAAATTGGTCATTTTCAATCCACGACTGTTTGTAGGACACTGCTGTGCGCAATTGGCTGCTGCGTTTCACCCACACATATATAGTCAATTCACTTTACAGTGTATTCTGTGAAGCGCTTTGAGATGTCTAGAAGACATGAAAAGCACTATATCAAATGAAAGGATTATTATATTACTACATTGGTGGAATGCTCATCTGATGAGCTCTTGATCTTTGGCAGAGAGTGTGGGTGAAATGCTGTATCTTCAGGGAAGAAGGGGGCAATCAGCATGGTCCTCTTCCACAAATCTCTTAGCGCAATAACATTGACAGCTTCATTTATCTCCAAACCCAATCCAGCAGGATTTAATCTGCATTCTGAAAGATCCCCAAGGATCAGAAAACACCAGACTTTATAGTTTTTCAGAACCTTGCTCTTTTGCAGGAAATATCATAAGAAGTTTATTTAAGTAGCGCCTTTCACTTGAATAAAAGCAAGATTGATTAGAAATGAATGCAAATGCTGAAATTTCAATACATGCTATTTTTTGCTTGAACCCGTGGCTGCATTCCTAGCTCTTCTGTTAAGCTTCCTTCTAAGTCAGTCGAGTTTTCAAAGATGAAAGGGTTAGAAATTCCACTTAGTCTTTGTCTACAAGACTTATTTTACCTTAAAATTAAAGATTGTTGAAGGTCAATTTCCTTGCAAGAACTGCGGTAAACCAACTTTCAAATTATGGTTGAATTTAAGAAGTTTCCACGATTTTGCATGGTATTAAATTTTAAGACAAAATGATCTTAACAAAGACCAGATGAAATTTCGGGCTCCAAGTGTGTCAGAGTTCCAGTACCTCGGCATAAGGAAAGCTTGTCCTTAAAGACTGTGCTTTCGGTCATCTTTCCCCTCCTCATATCCACCCCCACAGCTCTGGTGCCCAGCCAAAATTGTCAAGCACTTTGGGCCATCTTCCCAACGCGAATGATGCTATATAAATGTAACTTGTATTAAGTGCTTTTGTGTTTGCTCACTCTGTTTGTAAGAGGAGGGAGCAAAAATAGGCCTCTTCTTTTTTTTTCTCTCTCTGAATGCTGCCATAATTACTTCATAATAATGTTTGCATTTGCATTGTTGGGGGAGGGAGAAGCCTAGATGAAGCCCATTTTGCACCATAGCTTCTACAGCGGACTATTGTGGGATGGATGGGGTGGATCCAGCCACACACACATTACACTGGTTGAGCAGGATGTTTGTAACTTGCTAATGAGGTGCTGACCACTCTCTGTGTGATTAGGGAGAGTCCTTTAACAGGGATATAGAAAGTTCCCTGCTGTTACTGTATATCCTTTGTCACCGGAGACCACTGATGGTTTTTAGCTCAGAGAAACTATTACTGAGGGCTATTGAAAGTTACAATTTACCTAAATTCAGATACTTGCTCTCCTACATACTGTATTACAACAATAAAAATAATCCTTGCATTTGATTTTGCACCTTATCAAGGTGTTGAGATATCTATAAAGTGGATTGACTGCGTATTTTCTGGGTGAAATGCGGCAGTCAGTTGTGTACAACAATATCCCACAAACAGCCATGGAGTGACCAATTTGATTTGGGGGAATTTGTTAACCAGAACACTGGCGAGAGAAACTGCCTTTTCTTTTGGAATAATGTGTGGGATCTTTAACATCCACCTGAACAGGTAGATGGGATCTCGGTATATTGTGCAGGAAGGCTATATGTGCATGTACTGATGGCTCCCTTTATAACCCTCCCCCTTTTTAAAATATGTGGTGAAGCTCTGGTAGCAAAGATTGGCTTTGGGAAAGGAATAGCATTGATACCAATATCATTGATTAAAGGCAAAAAGGGAAAAGCAACGGCCAATTCAAAAGGATTATTTTAAGTGAAATCTGTGGCATTTCATAATGTGTTCCTTGTGCACGGGATCAGTGACCTGAATGACTTCCTCCTATTCTTACTATATCACATGTAGATGCAGAATCCTGAGGCTGAATGAATGAAAAGGGATGTTGCAGAACAATTTGCCAAAATGCCAGAAGGGATGTGTCTCAGATTATTACGTTATTAATGGCTTGGTCTAATAATGATGACATTAAGTTTGGAGCACAGCTTTTATTAGTAGAAAATAAACTTGAAGGTTTGTTGGCGAGTCCAAAACTAAAGGACAAAAATAGTAGTAAATCTAATGGGGAGTTTAGGAGGAAGGTCTTCACCCAGAGAGTGGTGAGAATGTGGAACTCAACAACAACAAGATTACATTTGTATAGCACCTTTCACGTCGGGAGGACATCCCAAGGCACTGGACAGTGTACAATATTTCAATCACTGACAGATGCTGCGGTTAAAACAA